TAATTAAGTAGATACTTACTAGGAAAAAGTCACAGCGGATAAGATTACGTGTACCCACAATGTTTGTGAAAGGAAAAACACAACCACTAACTGTTATGAGATACGCCTAATATATTATATTGTATAAATTCATAAAAATGTAACGACATGCTAGTGAAATAACGTTTCTAAAATCTATATAATATATAGTTGACAAATAAACATTATACAATATATTAAGCATACACGAATGTGCTCTAATGCATTAAATAATGACATAATGTGCCAAAACAAAGTACATCGGGATATCCGATTAAATTGTATATTATCGGTATTTCGTATACTTGTGGGATATCTCGACCATGAGTATTATCTGCTAACCGATGATCAAACTGAATAAATGCAGCTCATGGTGATAATTTCAAGTACATCTTCTTGTTTTATACAACGTCTTAGTCAAGACAAATAAAACAAAGTTTTGTAACAACCATCAATAATTATTATACATCATACAGTTACGGGTGAGACAATATTGAACGTGGAAATTTCTTACGTGGAAGTATCGAGGTACCCAACTCATACAGTATAATATTATCTGTTCAAGTGGAAGTGAACATATTCTAGATAGGTGGGAAAAAACCTTATCTATGTATAAACAAAAAGTTAAAATTAGAGCTCCTCTCCATAAATTCAAAGGGCTAGTTCACCTATGTTTATGAAGTAATATATTCTAGTTGTATAAATTACCTACTCGTATACGAATCGTAATACAACGTATACAATATACGTACTTAATCAGTGGTCGGGAGTAGCACGCTTATTGTATTGACGCTATTTAATCGAGAGACCAAAATACAATTAATATACCTTTACAGTGCTAAAAATGTATGGTTAGCTTACCTAGCAAAAATCATCATTTGTTTTGTCACTATTTACAACCTATTTGGTGTCTTAACTCTTGGTGACAGTTTAAATATCATATTAACTATTATATTTATTCATTTATATTATAATAATGATGAGGGTATTAGTACATTTTTCGGATTTAATCCACGATAAACTCACGTAATCAAATCCCGTCCAGTGACCAAATGTTAAATCAGTACAAACTACCAAACTAAAAAAAATTAGCTATTTACATTCAAACAATAGCGTTAAAAGTAGTGATAGCGAGCTATTTTTTTGGAGCAGTAATGAAGTACCTACCTAGCTGTAATGTTATCGCTCTCTAAAAAGCCAGTAGCTTCCCGACCACTGTACTTAATACACATTACACTTTAGTTCAAAATTTCATACTGAATATTAATAATGAAATGAATTAACTCGAACATCTCTTCTTTTTACGAATTTGTAAATTACTTATTCTTCAACGGTGATAAGCATATCACGTTTTAATATTATAATCTTGTGGACCTAAATTAACAAGACGTAGTAGTAAGATCTGAGATTATATCTACCCATTATCTAAATATATCTTGTGTAAATAATATATAATACTAGCTAAACCAGTAAATTTTGAATTGCTCGTAAAGTATTTTTTTTTTTTGGCAGCATCTAATCAAAACAGTAACCAAACGTACATATTATTATTACAATACGTGAAAATTTCACGATAGCGTCTAACACAGAGAAATTTGTGGATCACGGCCCACGGGGCATCTTTGAAGACCGACAGCAAATTTCAAACAATGCATTTATGAACGACGCACATAATATGATATAGCAGGTACCTACCTACAATAAAAACGGCGGAAGGTAACAATATTATACCCCTAGCTGATACGATACGCTAATTCGGTACTGAACATATTATATATTATATATTTTCAAACAATCACACGATGCCACGCCGACAACGATGGAAATTATTGCGATTTATTCGATTTTATGACAATCTATAATTTTGAAGTAACAGGGTCTAGAATAAAGCTTTAATATATAAAATAGATGAATTATTGATTATTCGATCTTGTATCATATTTTATATTATGTTGGTATACCTAAATCCATTTAAGTTCACAAGGATCGTTCACTGATTATCTAATTGATAAATTCATATTGATACCATTATCAAAGCTTGTGCGAGCATTTTTTCCTAGGAGGGCTAGAAATACATTTGGAGAGTGGGACTGAGACAAATAATTAGCGTGGAATTGCGTGACCTATTTCGAAACAGTACATCAAAAATCATATTTTTTTTAATGTAAGTATTATAGGAAAATGGGCCAGATTAATCTCATTCAACATACAATTGCTTCCCTTAGAGTTTGCGCATGTCTATGCTGTAGACGATTGTGATAATACCAAATAATTATAGATATCAGCATGTCTTTAATAAATTGTCGGGCTGTTTATAATAATTATTAAAGTAGGTAGGTACATAATGTTATTGTAGAAAACACTATTGCAAGAATAAAAAATAAAAATATTTCACGGATTTTGCATGTTGATTTTGTTCACGTACCTAGTACATTGTCCATAAAGTGAAAGTAAAATTCATTATTTGGTAAATAAGTACCTAAGTAGGCCGGTACTTTTGTGTTTTGCAGGGCCAACACTTCTCACATGTCATATATATATATATTTTTTAAATTTAATTAAAGCTTCAATAATGTCTGAGGTCATTCGCCTGAGTTATTTAGTAGGTTTCATTACTGTGAAGAATGGTATTGTTGGTTTAGAACACGTCTTGTATGTGTATATTGTTTGGTAACTGGTAAAGATTTGCCATTAAAACCCGGGTGGTCACCCATCCTGTGGCACCAGCCGGTGCTGGCACTCAGAGCACATCAGTGACTGAAGCCAGACCCGCACCACACCAAGCCACTGTCACCTATATTATTCATAGACCCCATCACGGTCTGTGGTCCTCGCTGTGGTTTCGTAACTTCGGTGGACGGTATAGCTCACACCCCTAGGGATATGAGGAGTCTTACCTGTAAGATGTCAGTTGAATATTGAATATATTCTCACGGAAGGCTAAGTAAAAATGACGGCAGTAAAGTGGGAATCCAGAAAAAGTGTCTGGTTAATACCAGGGGTAATCACCAAAAGTACCTGGTGGTAAAGTGGAAATCCCCAATAGTGCTGGGAGCGCATATCACGCGTATCCCCTGTACAAATAGACACTGAAATCTATACCAAGGTCCTAAAAGATAATATATATATACACTTTTGATTACATCTTATATTCATATTATAACCTTCTTTCATGACGAGTAAACATTTATATTTCATTAAATTGTTTTGGTAGAATAATCTGATTGTTGCATAGATCCCTCATACCTGCATAGTGCCGTGATTATAATTTTTTTTACTATTATTTTATTTTAATGTAATAATTATTATTTATACTGAAATCTATACCACTGTCCTTACAAAACATAATCTTTTGGTTACATCTTATATTCACATGCTTAAATCTCCATGCATGACGCTTAAAAAAAGATAACCAAATCGTTTCTTTCATGAAATATTGTTTTCATAGATCTCTGTATTACCTTTGACGTGATTGGTGAACGAAGAGCCGTGACAAAAAATTGTATGTGTGGCTCGTGCGGGAAACCAATTTCAGTCTTGGGCGAAATAGCTCACTTCCCGCCTTTGCCACACAATGTACTATTACTTATTGTTACAAAAACAAGATTGACGTTCTACAAATTGATATTCAGATGTTATTTTCTGCTAGTCTTCTGACATATATCATGCATTATATATACTATTGTGCAAATAGTATTTGTATAAGACGACCACCTAAGTAGGTACCGTGACCAATGAACCATAAAAAAATCAATGATATAAATCCATCAATTGAAATAATCGTAGGCATTTGAATATGAAAAAAAAACCATAATACATAATATTCACGACATTTGTAACATTTTATAATTTCATGGTCATATAATATAAACATGTTCATGAAATAACATGAATATGTATATAACTATGAAATTATTACTTCGACTTTAATTCTACCTTAATATTCAACATTTATTTTAGCATAATATATTGTTCTAAATCAGAAGTCCTCAAACTGCTGTACGCGTACCACTAATGATACCTATACGCGAAAAGCCACATGCTAGCAAAAAAAAAAACATTGCTTTTATTTCTTGATGTTTGTGGATGATCTAATAGTATTTTATATTTTGCGTAAATGATTATAATTGTACGTTATTATTTGTATTATTATCCCAAATCTCAGAAAGTACATCATTATGCTGTAATTATCGACACACACCTCGTACAGCCGTAGATAATTTTAAAACTTATATTGTAAGTACATTTTGTACTGCCTCATCATTTTTACATAAAATATAAATATATTTATATATAGAACTGTTCTATTTTTAGTAATTAATTTTTAGTGACTGATCCGTAATAAACATGAGTTGTACATGAAAAACTAATTTTGGGAACCTCTGTTCTAAACAAAAATGTAAATCCATATTTTAATACCTAATTGTAAATCAAAACAAACTTTCTGAATTCACTATTTACGTCCAAATTGATATATATGTGTTGTATGAAACTATTTTTTTTTAAATAAAATGAAATAAAGCTATAGCCAAGAAAATCTGCAAAATATTAATAATATTGTTAAAATACTAACCTTTGTAATAACTAGAATACAAATATACAATACTTAGGTGAAATAAATATTTCTCTAATGTCTATATTAACTTGCCAAATCACTGTTTTTTTTTTTTTTTAGATGATGTAAGTCCGAAAGTTTTCCAATCGCCAATGAAAAAAAATTAATTCATTTTTAAAGCCATCAATAATTATTATAGTATATTACTAAACATTTACAACAGAAGTTATTCTGAAAATTTAAAATATAGGTTTTTTAATGTAGGTAATCTATAACATCCAGAAAATGAAAATTTTTATTATGCAGTCAAATTTGGAGAATAAATCATAACAAAACAATATTCATACATCAAACAAAGAAAAATGTATATAAATTGTATAATATTTTGATTAAACATGTTTATTGTCGGTTAAAAGTATGTAAAGACTTATCGACGTCTACGCCGTCCCCATCTAAGTGGTTGTCCTACTGGCCGATTACCCTTTGATGGTATATCCGTATCTGGGAAAAACGAACTGAATGGCGACCGAATCACATGTCTGCCGTTACCACTTAACTGATTCCATGGTCTCCAGTGTGTCAAAAATGACAGTGCTCGTTTACTGTTTTCTGTAACATATATCACATTCATAGATTTTATTAGTTAGTTGAATTTTCGTGTTCGACTTTAGTTTATAACAATAGACAACAACCATTTATATCATTACCACAATATATTATTATACATCCTTTTCTGAAAAAATAAGGAATAATATTTTGCATATATTATACGCCTAAAAAACGTATACAATAAGTACCTACCAACTATATTGGACATAATGTCCATCAAGAGCCACCGCGCATTCCTTACATAAAATACTAAAATATATTTAGTACTTAGTTTTGTATTATAAATATGATAATACCTATTATGTCCTTATTATATTCTTGTGTATTTTCATTTTAAGAACACTACGTAGATTATATTTGTATAATAGTTATTAAATTATTATATCACTGATATATAGGTAGTTGGCTAATTGGCTATAGAATGTATTTTATATTATAGCGGTCCATTATTTATTCTCATGAATATTTTTGTACGCTTTTAGTATATTTCATATTTTTAATTTTAGATTCTGAGCGTATAGCAACCTGCTAGCGTAACTGCTCTGATCTGATCATTAACATTCAATTAAAGAGGAGATTTCCGGGAGAAAATTGGATCTAATGACTAGTTAGTACTTTTGGGATGTCAACATTTAAAATGCTTAGTGCATTTTAAAATAAACGGGAAAAACAAAACTTAAATAGGTGGACAAGTGAATACGACTCTGGTGTACAGTAGAGGTCAAGTGAGTCAGTGTAATGTATGTGTTAAATTTGAATTCAATAATAAATTATTGCATACAAAAAACAATACTGAACGAAGACTATATTTCTAACTATATCTTTTTATAATATAATATTTATTTTAAGTAATTTATTTTACTAATACAGTAGGTTGAATTCATTTTTGCTGAAAATATTGCATTTTAAAATGCCATTATGTGAATAACCAATGTTGTAAAAATTTTAAATTCAAAACCTCATAAAAAATGAATGTGAATTTCTGCCTAACTTTTTGTGTTTTGTAGGTAAAAACTTATGAGAAACCTTTTATTTATTTTTCAAGATTTTGACTAAGGAAACATTTTTTTTATCGATAATCAATGAAAAAAATAATTACACTATGATTTCACTACATTTGATCCCCTACCAAAATATCGGTAAAGCACTAGGTATTGAGCATTAAAAATTTAAAACGATTGAGCATAATATATCTATTTAGTAACACTATTGAACATAGAATATTTTATGCAATGTTGCCACATTCACGTGGCTGAAATTTTGTAATTTATTATTTTCAAGTATTATTATACAATTATAATGATACCAGACGCGAGCCGTGAGCTGAGCCCAACTTTATCGACAAATTACGACAATGTTATCGATTAATAAATTAGTTCCGGAGCAATAAAGTAAACATTTATAAATTTTCATAAAAAATTTTAATTTATTTAAAAATTAATACAATTCCAAAATTATTATAGAAATAATATCAGTGTTTAATCACCCATACTCTACAATAGTATTCTTGACTTATAAACCATTCAGTATTTTTTTTTAATTCGTACCATATTTAGATTTTATTATTTTCATAACTATTATTATTATTATTAATATTATCAAACAGATTAATAAAATGTGACTATATTATTGACTATGAAATCATGTTATTTTTTTTATAAGTTAAAATTATTATAATTATTTAAATTTATATTTTTGTATAATATAATTTAAAATGGAAAATGGCAACGTTTCAGAGTTTTTTATGCTAAATCGTGTAGGTTTTCTTTTGTATTCCGATTTTCCTTTGATGCACCGACAATTTTTCTGAATTGTGTCTCAAAAAAGGTGTTTTATGCTAAAGTCTCAGCCCAAAATATCTTGTAACAAAATTATCAGGCTCAAAAACGTCCAGTTAAAAAAATAATATAAAATTAAAATTATGAACGATTATGCCCTTTAAGGCTTTAAATATGTATTATTTTTTGTTTTATTATTAAAGTTAAAGCCTCGATAACAGGATCATTGGCATGTATTACTGAAACTAAATTGTATACTTAATAATTTTCATAAATATTAAAAAAATGTTAATGCAATCTTCGTCAGTGTTTCGAGTAAATATGTATTGATGTGTGTAATACTCGTATAACAATAATATTAAATTTTAATAATTATTTTATTAATAGGTCAAACAGTTTGTAACAGAAGAAGAAACTATCAATATCAATAGGTACATATTTAGTTATAATTTTAATTTTTAAAAATTTTTACTGGGTGCCGCCACTGGATGACTTCTCCCTCCCGTCAATCAAATCTCATTAAATTTACTTTTTGTATATCATGTAAATACAGATTGTAAATATATACATTTTTGCTCAATAAAAAAAAAAAAATTTATAATAGGTACCTACCTATATTATTATTATTTATTTTACATTTGTTACGTTATTTAATACAATAAAATTGTATTATTTTAATCATTAATTGAATATTTTTTTTTTTTTACTGGACATTTTTTATTTTGGATATTGTTGGTACAGGATTTTTTGGTACCGGATCAAATATCGATGGATATAATTTACCGAACCAAATGACGTGGAAACTCATTAAGGATAAGAATTTAAGTTACAATGATGAATATATTGAAGAAGTCATTTTTCGATTTTCTACATTGTTTCTTTACATACAAATTTAAAACCCAAATTTAAAGAATATAAAATTTAAAAAATATCATTATATGACCGTGTTTGTTTTGTTGGTCCACTCAGAATTTAAGATACAATCGGTGTAATTCACGATAGTAATATATTTCATAGTCGATACATGAAACTTTAAATGTGTAATAAAAAAATAAAAATTCATACAATACATCAATAAAAGAAAGACACCGCTTTGAAGCAAATGCTTTCCCCAACCTGCTCAGAATCTAAAAATACTTCCTTCAAAAGAAAAGCATTGAAATGAGAGTTGAGACTAAAAAAGGTTATGGTGTGGGAAAAAAAGAAAGTTCTTAAATAAGTATAACTGTACATATTGTATAAGCGATTTGAATAAGTTTAAAAAACTGCATAAAACATTAAATGTACACAGTATGAAATTATTATAATTTATTTATATATAGGTAATATTATAATTCTATGATAAACGTATATATTATTATATTATAGTGAGTATATGCTGGTGAAAGAGAATAAATACATTTTCGGCTTGTTATTACTTTTTTTCCATAATAAAATATGACGTAGCAAAAGCAAATTATAAAAAGAAATATCAGTAAATAAATTAGTTTTATATTTTTAAATTTTGAGAGAAAAAAATAATCCAGTGTTGTATAAATATAGTGATATATATTAATCTTTAAAAATAAAATAGTTGATATTTTTACTATTTGTGGAATTTGTTTTTACTCAGATCTCAGATTATAATATGAAATTTGATTTATTTATTGTTTTCATAGGACTGTATTTAGCATAATATACGATAACATTCATACGGTTAAATTATAAATTATACTGTAAAATTATGCTGAAAATACGGGTAATTTAAGTTATTAATATGAAAGGTATAATTGTATTTAGTAATAATAAAAAAAAAAAAAAACAAAGGTAACACTTTAACACACGTTAGCAAGTTTGCAAAAACCTACAGTACCCTCACCCACAGTTAAAAACCACCCAATGGCTTAAGTTTCCGAGGGTTAATTAATAAAAAAAAAAAGGTTAACACTCTAACAGATAATAAGTAAATTATGTTTATCTGATTTAGTTTTTTTTATGGTACTGAACAGATATATAAGCTGAGCATCCCTTGTTGTTCGCAAGGAGATCGCTGGAAAGCTTATTTCAGTGGATTTTGGTGTGATTTTAGGTTTAGGTACAGATGAGTTGTGATCATCAACAAGGTCCTCTGCCGACACTGCGATGCATATAGCCACAATAGCCTTCAGTATAGACTATATTCTTGATAGTTTTAGTACTGATTTCTAAGTAGGCAATGATTTTAGATACTTATGTGAGATTTCTTAATTTTTATTTTCTCGTGTATTACAATTCTAGTTGAAAAAGTTCTTTCAATTGATCCGTGGGTTATATATTGACGAAAAAAGTAAAGTTTTCAACTAGATTTTATTAAGCTGTGGATGATTTGCGTGACTTGTCTGTCATAAATAGACACAGTTTAAGTTAACTTTTACTAGTATATGTTGAAGTAGATTAATGAAGATTATGAATATATAGTGAGTTTGTTTATCATATTTTAATTGGAGAGTGTAGAATTTGTCTGCAGTTGGCTTACAATAGAAATTATTGTTGATAATTAGCTTAATTAATTCTTTACATACACTGTGGAAGTCTATCACCCCTCTATTGAAAACCGTGGTAATGGATTCTAGGTCATTGATCTATTATTCAGTGATATGATCTGCAGGAGTTAATGAGAAGTTTTAATAAATTGGTCAAACTGTCAAAGTAAATTAAGTAATTCAGACAGGATTTTGAGGAGAACGATATTTAGTTTGAGGTACCTACTCGAAGAGATGATGAAGATTTGGAGTTTGAAGAATTAGAAAATTTTTATTCAAGTCCATTTATCACTTGTTAAGGTATCAATTGATGTAGTACTAAGCGTTTATAATATTGAATTTATATTTGTAGTATGCCAATTATTTTTGTTATTTTGTTAGCAGTTGGATATTATTTATATTTCTAATAAATTACGATATATTATATTATATTCTCATATAATTGGTCTTTTAGATTTAGAATTTGTGTTTGTTGATATTAACATTATATTATACTAATAATGATTAATAGGTACTTGCCGTTTTTAAATATATTCGCCGGATATTCTAATTCTTCATCTTCATCTTCTTGAGGAGATCTCCATGTACCAAACCCTCTTCCACTATTATCCAACCATCTTAGCAAGTCATTGCCAGTTTCCTCGTACGAACCCTTTTCGGCCGCTATTAAAGTGGTTACTAATACTAGTAATAACACCCATTGTAATATCATAGTGGTTAATGCCTTTGGGCCGAACCACTACACCAATTCTGAAAAATAAAATTGATTCAAATTTTTATTAAGAAATTAATAACAATAACTAAAAATTTATTAAAATATGTTTAGCTTATTCCGTTTTATTAATTTTTATTTGAATAGTTAATATTTATTATATATTTATATGAGATATAAATCATTCAACTCAAAATACATGAAAGTCTATTCAAGAACAAGCAATCATCGTATCATACTTAAATCATAGTCAATGTGATAAAAATAAGTCATACCATTTTTGTAACAATGACTTACGCATCTAGTTAGATCAAGAAAACTGAAGAAAATACGATCATGATTTATCATATTCGATGTTTGATGTTCATAAATAATTTAAAATCATCGAATGAAACCAACAATTATTAGAACAATAAAAATAATAATTTGTGATAAATATCTTTATAATAATTATAATATTATATAATTATTATAATAATATTAAATAAGGGCTGTAGATATTTTTATTTTTATAGTGTTTTTCCAACGGAATCCTTGTTCGTGTAAAATGCAATTTATTATTATTTATTATAATAAATATTTAGAAGCTAAGTAGGTTATAAACTTATAAATACAAATAGTTATAGCAGCATTGATAGTATCTAATTAAAAATGTAATCCTTCTAGATTTTATGTTGAAAATTGAGATATATTGAAAATAAATTGTTTTGTTAAACCCTAAATTCTAAGTTATTTTTATAATACTTAACAACATAATATTCTATATTTATAATATACGTATTACACATGAAGTATAAGCATCATTAAAATCATTATACGCTGAATCTTAAATGAAATGAACTCATTTTTATTATAATTATTGTAATATTTAAAGTATATTATTTTATTAATATTTTAAATAAAATGTTGAGCTTGTTTAGTAGGTATAACATTTAATATCCATACAATTACAATAATAATATAAGTAAGTGTTATATATCAATTATAAATTATCATAAATTTTAATACTTAATAATAATTGTCCAAGTTTGTTATAACTATTGAAAACCATTTTTATGGCTATATTTTATTTAAAATTATTTGTAAATAAATCGTTTAGTTATAAATATAGAATTGTTTTTCAAAAACTATTTCACTTCTTTAAGTTTAATAATATGAGGATGTGTTGATTCAATAGTTTTGGAAAAGCAAATAAAAAGACATTTATATTCTTTCCTAAACTTCACGTAATATTGTGATTTTTATTTGAAACTGAAAATAAACAAATCAATATAAATTTTTTTTTCAGAAATCAAAATCTTTACAAAAATAGAACAAATAATGAATTCATATTTTTCCTATTCGAATACAATTGTATTATTTGGACTACCTTTATTAAACGGTTATTTGCACTTTGGTGATTTTTTTTTTATAGGCATCTTGTCGAAAAATGGATAATAATTTGGAAAAAAAATTATAAGCAAATATTAATATTTTGAACATAAATAATAATAATAATATATTATATAAAGGTAATACAAAATATAAACTTATAGTTTTTTTTCATAAATTTCTATTTGTTTCATACAAAATTTAACTGATAAAATGTATTTTATAAAATAATAATTATCACGATCATATTATTAAAGGGAAAAACGATTAGATATTAGAAGACTAAAGTCACTAAAGGATTTTGATGAAAATGATATAATTTTATTTGTAAGTAGTCATTATTATCATTATTTTGTATTAAATATTAAGAACATATAACTTAATTTAGTTTATTGTATTCTGCAAAAAATTTAAATTAATAAAATTAAAAGTTGTATTTAATATTATTTATTAATTAATGTATATTATAATTAATTTAAGTTTAAAATTAAGAGTGTAGTGCTGAGAAATATTGTTCTTATCTATTTCTACAATATCCTGCTCAACTTATTTTGTTAAAACTTTAAAAAAAAAAATAAACCATTTATTCATTATTTGATTTATGAATTCATTATGCTTTATGGAAACTATTCTGTTAGTATTAATGTATTTACAATACTATAATAACAGTTGGGCTTGGCTTCGGTGGATGTTGTAAACATCAACATTTTTAAAAATAAAATTCTAAGCAGAGCTTGGCTATTACTTAAATTAAAAAAAAAATATTTCATTTAAAGTAATAAAGTTCTAGTATATATAGGATGTAGGTAGTAAATGTGTGCTAAATTTCCAATCTATTTAGATGACAGATGTACTGAATGACTTTGCTAAGGTATTTATGTACTATCCAAACAAGTGTTAACCAGTAAAAAGCTTTGTGAAACCAACAGCTATCTCGCTCTACTTGTAAGATATAATAGATTAATTTGAAATTAAACTACCACAGGTAAAAAGAATCCATAGATAAAAAGACAATAGAATAATAAAAGACCAAGAAAAAAAATGAAGACATTATTAATTTGGTAATAATAGTGAAAACCAGAAAAAGCTTACTGAAATCTCACACACGTACCTATAGCTATTATTCTCTACCTGTGCACTTTATCGTAATGCGATTTTGTACATTAAATGATTGAACAAAATTTAATGAACTGTGTAATATACCTATTGTTAAACATTTAACTATTTGCTATGATGGACCCACTGTGTTTGAATTTGGAGGGGTCGAGGTGGGCAGAGAACTTATTTTTTAAAAAATATTATAACATACCTCTTCTAATTATATCCTTTACATAAAGAACTCAAAAAAATTAAAATACAAAATCATATAATCTCCCTGGCTGCAAATTTCCACATTTCACAACTAATATCAACAAGCTCAATACACTTCAAACAATACATATATAAGTACACCATCTCAAAGATGCCTAAAACGCTGTTGCCCACACGATCTATTGGTTAATTATTAATTAATTTTATATTACAACTATTATATTATTATAATTATAGGTAATTATTATCACATTAAAATAGCCACGAATAATTATTCTATTTATATCCGTAGGACCGTAGATTTAGATAGCATATGCCCTATAAGCTACAAATGTCTTATTTTAGTTAAATAAAAATTATATCCCTAATCAATAAGAAATGTAAAACTTCAGGTACGCAGATGGCTTTATATTTTTGCATCCTCCATCTATTTTTTCCAATTAAATTAATAAATGTACCTAAACTATTATTTTGAGCTTAACTTCAGTAACTTTTGGAAACTGATTTTTAACAAAGTCAATTTTATATCTATAATATTAAAGAGATTATTGCTTAAATTATATGTTTAATGTATATTTTAGATTCTGAGTGGAACGATGTATGTACGAATGTATTGATTTTACAATGATGTGTGTTTTTTTATTTTTTATTTTTGTGTTTGTCATCACGAATTAGGGCAGTAAAACTGCTTCGGTTTTCTGCCACAGTATCTTGTTCTATGGGAAAGTGAATCTAGTTGGTGCAGTCGGGAGGTCAAATTTTAAAATTCCCAATGGTTTTCAAAAGCGCCATAAAACAACATAACAATTAAGGAAAAAGGGAATTTTTACGCAAAATCGGTTTTTGACAAAATTGATTTTGGATTTTGGTGTTATTCTAAAACAAATGATCGTAAATACATGAAATTTTCACAGAATGTTTATATTAGCCTTTTCTATACATGAATTAATTTTCACTTGTTTTAAGCTGTTTATGGATATACTCAGTTTTGAATTTTTTTTCGTTTTTTTCTATGAATGTCAATAAAACTTTATTTAATATAATTTGTCAGGTAAAAAAGCTTGAAAATTTAATACAAAGCTCCTATTATGTTGTTACAATGACGTTTGAAAAATATTAAAAATCCTTAGTCACAGTTTTTTTTTATAAGCATTTAAAGTTCAAATACTGACAAAATAGGGAAAAAACACGAACTCTTGCAAATTATTTTTAGTTAGAAATTCATAAAAATTTTTCTTTTTAAATTTAAGATTTTAAAATGTCATACAAGATTTTTCATAAGTTTGTCTAACTTAATCAAAAAAAAAATGTCTACCGGAAAGTGAAATTAAATTTTTATGAGTATTTTAAATTCATATTTTTACAAAATTTGTTATACACTCGATTTCCATTTAACGATTTTTATATTTTGATATAATTCAAAAATTAATGACCCTAGATACATGAAAATTTCACTGAATGTTTATTTTATCAATTCTTATACATGATAAAATTTTCAAAATGTTTTGACGCATTTTGAGCTGTCCGTAAACAGCTTTATTCCATTGTCATATTTCAATTTTTTTATTTTTTTTTCTATGATTATCAATAAGTTTACGTGTTGGATCAAAAAGTGTGAAAATTTAATAAAAGGCTCCTAATATATTGTTACAATAGCAGTTGAAGAATATTAAAAATACATAGGCACAATTTTTTTTAATAAGCATTTAAAGATCAAACGTTGACAACATTTATAAAATTTAAAATTGAATAGTTATTTTGTATTTAAAAATTTATAAAATGTTCAACTTTTATATCTTAGGATTGAAATTTCAAAACAAGATTCCATGTAAGTAGTTAATTTCGTTACCAAAAAATCTAAAAAATACAAGACAGTTTATTTTTATAGTAATTTTAAGTTCAAATTTGGACGAAATTACATATTAAAAACCTAGAATAACTATTTTAGTTATTTTGTTATGATTGTATAATATTATTCGTCGGTAATTGAAACTTCCAAAGTATACTATTATGTATCTTTTATAGCATCATGGTTTGTTGTTGATGTATAACAAGTTATAATAGTATCTAATGGCTATTGTGATATGATTAATTTGGAATTTATTATAGGTACAATTTTTTTTTATACCATATAGATAAGTATATAATTATGTCTTATACCTAAACTGACATACCGTATTCGCTCAGAATCGTTTTTCTTATACAATGATATTATATCATTGAATTCAAAATTAATACCATCCATTATACAGTGACCCACTTGTAATCTACTGTACAGCAGAGCCCCTTTTTAATATTTACAAATATGGAAAATGAAA